AATATAGAAGCAAAAATGACAAATAGAAGATTGTATTAGCAAATTAAATTCTACAGTGTATAAAAATGATAAAAAAATGACAAAGTCGAGTTTAATGCAAAGTTGGTTTAATGTTAGAAAAATCATAAACGTAATTCACTACACTGCCATATTAAAAGACAAAAACCATATATCATTTCAATAGGTATAGATACGACATTTTAAAACTCATTATAAGTTCATTATTAAAGAAAGAAATCTTTTAGTAAATTAGGAATAAAACAGAATTTCTTTAGCATGATAAAAAGCACATATAAAAAAATTAAGCAAATGTGGTCCTAAATGGGGAAATATTATAACATTACCCTTTAAAATCCAGAATGAGGCAACGCTCTCCACATCTTTCATCCTTGTAGTGGATGTTCTTGCCAGTACATTAACTTAAAAAAAACAATTCAAAGGGAGAAGGATTGGAAAGAAAAAACAAAATTATCACTATTGTGTAGTTGACATGATCATTTACATAGAAAATCCAAAAGAATCTACAAACACTTAGAAATAATAAGACAATTTAACAAAGTAGCTCATAGAAAATTAATATAAAACAATAACCTGTATTATCATACACCAGCAACAAAAATAATTAAAAAGAAGATACCGTTTACCATAGTATTAGAGGACACCAATTACCTAGGAATAAATCTAATACAAGGTGAATTAAAACCACTACAGGGAAAACCATAAACTTTCAAGAAGACCCAAATAATGGAGAGCTATGCCAAGTTCACTGAATGAAAGATTTAATTCTCTCCAAATTAATCTACAGAGAAATTTTGATCAAAATCCAAAAGGCTATTTTGGGGAGGAAGCTGATAAGAAGATTCTAGTATATACTGAAGACAGAAGAGCTAAGAATAGTCAGGCCACTTTTCTGAAGAAAGTTAGAGTCTTTACTTGGCCCGCCCATATCAGGACTTATTTGAAGCTGAAGTAAATAAGGCCCTGGGATACACATGGTGACCAACGGACAGAGAGCTCTGAAACAGGCCCAACATACACGAAATATTGGCCTATGACAGAAACGGTATTTGAGATCAGTAGGGAAAGGAGAGACTACTCAGCAAACAGAGCTAGGAAAGTGGTCATCTGTGTGAAAAATATGTGAAACCAGATTAATACCAGTGATTTACCCTGCCTCTCTCAGTCCCGACCCCATGCTTCTGTACCCTTCTCTTTAATGCTAGGTATAATGTGTCTTTTGCTCTATTATGTGAGAATATTCAGTTCAGCTACAGAGGACAAGAAAAGAAAACAGGATGGGTGATAATCATCAGACGCATTAAGTAAGTAAGCAAGTAGCTTGGGAGACATAGGCAGAACTCAGATATGCTAAAAATAGGTAGCAAGTTTGTAATCTGTAAGACATGTAAAAATAGAATGAATGGAATATATTATAAAAAGAATGGAACAAACAAGAGTGTTGCTTACAGACAAAAAGGTAAAGTCATCAGTCAGTAGGTATAGAGGATGCCACCTTGGGGCTGACAGCCAGGTCATCCCTGAGTTGTCTACCTATTAGCGACCCCATCCTGGCCTCTGTTGACTCTTCCCCAGAAATGCTGACAAAAGGGACGGCTGCCCAGAACATTAACGAGTAGTGTGAGTAAACCTGTGGCCAGGCCTGCTTGCCCTTGCATCTCTGAACAGAGCCAGTATACATTGATTCCAAGCATCTTCCATCTACTGATCCTTTACTTAACCTCAGTTCTGGTCCCCATAACTACACTATCAGAGTATAACACAATATTCAGAGAGTGTGGTCCTTTCACCCTGCTTGCACCCTGTCCCAAGTGGGTTAACCTACCCCAGCTCTTTCCTCTTGGTTCTGGCTGAATGTTTGAAATAGATTCAATAACCTCTGAGATTTGTTCATCAGAATTTGGTCTGAGCCTTCTTCATCTGTGGCCCCTGTAGCCTGCCTATAGTGTACTTGAAGGCTACCACTGCATGGAGCTAATTTCCCACAGGACACTGTGGGGCACTGGGGCCGGGAATCTACAGGCCACATTTCCCAGGCTCCCTTGTCAGCTGATTTCTGGTTAGATTCTGCCAAGATTGGAAGGCAGGAAGAGGAAAGAAGAGACTCACTTCTAACTTTAGGTTCTCGTCGTCTCTCTCTAGCATCTGAACACCTCCACCACCAAGGATCCCTTCCTTCCAAACTGGGACCCAAACCTTGAGAGTCTTCAAAGACCCAAAACAAGTGTGCACCATGGGAGAAAAAGCCTCAGTTCCAAAATATGAAATTGGAAAATCAAAATGGACAAAAGTTTTATTATTTATTATTAAATAGTTATAAAAGGTAAACAGTCATGTAAACTGCAATTCAACAGTTTTATAGAAATGTAATAAGGTTTGAATTATAAGAACAAAATGAAGAATATGTTTTAAAGCAAAAAATTTTAAAACCATTTCCTTTTTTTTTTTTTTTACATCAAAGAAGTTATATTTAACGTGGCACGAGGGACTGTTTTAAATTGAGTGGTATGACATGTGTGTGTTTTGGGGCTGGAGTAGGGGGATGTTCAATGGTAAGGGTGGTCATGACCTAGAAGTCTAAAAAGGGCCTGACAGAGCCTCTCCCTCTATTTCTGTTGCACGCTCCACTATGTACAGTATAGTGAACATCCTCTTCTAGCAACAGCTTATGTGATGCAGTAGGGGAGCAGGGATGCTGAAGAGCAGTGAAGGAAAGCTAGAGCTTTGAAGAGACTTGATAACTCAACTCTATACGGGCTGTGAAGAAACACAGAGCTGAGGTCCCAGGGTGTACGTGTGTTCAGTGGCCAGAACCTGAGTTTGTAGGTGGATGGGGCAAGCTTGTGTGCGCTTGGAGTGAGTCTCAGTGACCCTGGAACATAGGGAGAGCAGCTGGTTATCATCTAGTATCATAGTTCTGGTACCATCTACAGCCTTGCAGGCCAGAGAAGAAACAGCTCTGGTTTCTCAGAGGAAGCAATTTGTCAGCCTCCCATGCCCCCTAGTCCTATCTTCCCTCCCTGCAGTCTGACATCCACTTTGTACCTAGCATGTCTTCTCTCCAAACTGGGGTTTCTTAAACTTTAGTGTGTATAAGAGTCACAGAGAATGCCTATTAAAAGTAGAAAGCACCCATGATTCCATGTAGACCATGCTTTGAGAAGCTCTGCTCCATAGAATTATTCCCTCTCCCCTCCGGCCCCAAAGCTAGTTAAGAAGTTCAGGTGCTAGAGACAAATTCTTTCTTGTTTCCATGGTCCAGCTAAGGGAGACAAATGGCATTTGAAGTAACCGGAAGAAATTATTGGGAAGGAAGAGCCAAGTGGGTCAAATTGGTTCTCGTATCTAGCAAGGATTGCAACCCCACATTTTGTTCACAGCCTCTCACCGGGTGTGAAGCAGACCCAGCTCCTGGAGCTGAGAGAGTTGGGGTGGAGGTGGGAGGAGCTATCTCCTTTGTTAATTGGGAGTCCCAAAGACAAAAGCCTGATTTAAATATGTATTTTGTAGCCCTTTCTGTCCTCAGCTGCAGGCCCTTGAGATCACAGTGTGGTCAGATCAATCACCATTTGCACTTTGGAACAGATTCATACCATACAGTGTGTTTTATCAAATTTGCATCTTAAGCCTTTGGTTTTATTATGTGATGAAAGGCTTTGTTTCCTATTTAAAGGAAAGTTAGACAACAAGATCAGAAGAGGGAGTTTGGGGGTTTGTTTTTAGACCTGCACACCCTTCTCCTGTGCAAACCAAACTTACAGTAGGTCAGAGAAGGGCCATAAAGATACACCTATATTCATAATGCTAGAGGGTCTGCAGAGAAGTAAATCAGAAAGGATCAGAGGGTGCTGGTCTGACCTTCCTCTCCCTCTCTGAGCTACGTGGCACAGACGTCATGGAAGAGCTGGGCCTGGGTATTCGCCATCCTGTGATTCCACCGAAGATCTCAGTGCATGTTCTCCCAGATTGCACCTTATCTTATCGCCTCCCTGGTGCCGTCATCGTCTCCTCCTGGCTCCTCTCTCCTCCAGTCTCTACCTCCCCAATTCAGTCTGTGAGCAGGCTGACTGCCCAGCTCAGAATCTCTGCAGTCAGTTTACCAACATCCAGAACAACCGGTGAGGACTAGGAGTTCCAGGATCCATCAGGTAGTCCAGGGTGGAGTCAGGCGAAGCCCTTTTTCTGGGGGGGGGGGGGGGGGGTGCAAGATGAAGCCCTGAGAATCTCAGATTCAGGGCTGGAGAGAGCATGGCTGGTGAGAAGGCATCCCAGGAGCTGGGGGAGTCCTTTGTCTTATGATGATGGTGACAACTAGGATCAAACTATGTGGGAAAATGGGGATGGTCACAGGAAAAACCCCTCCAAATTAACACAAATTGACAGATCTTGCCAGAAAAAAGGTGAAAAGAAAAATCGACAAGGATGCTTAGGACGGGTGAAATGAATAATTGCAGCCATTTATGTGTCCTGCTCACTCTTTATGCTTCATTAACATGCAGCACAGTCTCTGTATGACTCGAATTAAATGCATCCGATTGGACACGTGGTAAGTTTCACCTGAGTAGCAAAATGCTCACACTTGTAAACTCAGGTCCTCACGGTAGATTTCTGTTTCAAACTTAAAAATCAAGAAAAACAAAAAGGAAAGGACAGGGAAAAAAAAAATCAGAGGAATCTTGCCCCTGCCTTGGCGACCAGCAAGGCTGACACAAAGAGGTTAAAAGTTAAGTGGAAGTTGAACTCGAAGAAGTAAGATGGGGCCTCAATTATAAAGTTGAACAAGATGTCTGGGACCGCACAAACCTCCACCTTTTTTGGCCTCGACGGCGGCAACCCCAGCCTCCCTCCGAACGTCCTCCGCCTTTGGGACTAAACGGGGAAGCTCACGTTAGTCGCAGCCAAGAAGAGGGGCCGGCCTTGCCAGGACTAGAGAGGGAGGGGTGGGGAAAAAGCAAGAATCGCCCACCCTGCTCCCGGGCGGAGGGGCGGGAGCAGCGCGTCCCGCTCGGGCGGAGCAGAGTCTTGGGCTTGTGCATCTCTTCGGGAGCAGCTCGAGAAGGATGCTGGTCCGCAGGGGCGCGCGCGTGGGGCGCGGGATGCCGCGGGGCTGGACCGCGCTCTGCTTGCTGAGTTTGCTGCGTGAGTATCGGCCGCGCGTCGCGGCCCGCCCCACCGGCAGCGGGGAGGGTCGACGCTCTCCCCGAGACGGAGCGCGCAGAGCAGAATTACGCGGAGGGAAGGGACCCCTGCCCCAACCCACGCCCCCACGCCCCCACGCCCACGACTGCTCCTGGCTTTGGTGGGACGAGGGCCGTTTGAACCGAGCCCAACTGGGACCAGCGCCTCACCTGGGAATCGGTGGGGGTGGGACGGAACGGGAAGGCGACCACGCTGTGAGAGGGAGCCAGCCGTGGTGTCAGCCAGGCAGCGCGACTTCGGCTTCCCAGAGTCGGACAGGGCGACTCGCTCGAGTTGTTTCTAAAATAAAGTGCTTTGAAGATGCCAGTGTCTCTTCGCGTTGCCAAAGGTGCGGAGCGCAAAGTTGGAGTTTGAACCAGGAGAGAGGAGAGGAGAGAAGCAGGAAAGTTTTGCGGCTGATGGTTGATTCAGAAAGCTGTGGCCTGAAGGGTTGCTGGGAAAAGAGCACAGGCGCCCACCGACCACCAAGACAGGGGGAGCCAGAACTGGACATTTAAGAAATGAGAGTGAAGCCAACCTGGGACAGGGCCCCAGGTCCAATGCCCAGGAGGCCGGCTGAGTCAGGTGACCAGGGGAGTTTAGACTGAAGAACAGTCCGTGAAAAAGTTATTTCATTTAAGATGGGAAAGCTAAGTTACATCTCCCTCTTCCGACATCCACACTCATTCCACTGGAGAGAAAGTGGTGGTAGATGCAGTTCGCTCTGCGCCCTGCCTCCCATTCCCCACCACAGCCCCTCACCCTCGCACAAACTCAAACTTGTTACATTTGGGAGTTTTCTTCCCCTACCCCTGTCCAAGTTCTAAAACTAGTAGACAGGTCAGCAGACTAGTGGACTCTCCTCCACTCATCTGCACATGCCCTTACTTCTTAAGCTCTTGCTCTCACTTTGGTAAAAAAAAAAAAAAAAGGCATTCAATAAATATTTATTCTTAATTGCTTTCATTTGGGTATAACATTCTCCATCTCATTTCATTGCAGTTAGAAGGTTTCAGACATTGTAAGTTGTTCTCCCTTTTGCTCAAAATTCTGCTTCCAGCTCTAGGGCTCCCAAATCCTTGCTCTTACTACGTCCTAAAGGCCACCCACCATGGCCCCACAAAGTGACCTGAGTCAGCCAGCTTGGCCTCTTTGCTCTCAGTCTCCTCTGCTATCCCACTTTGGGGCCACCCAGTTGGAGAGGGACCCCCAGCTGGAGGAAGCTCTAAGTTAGGCTCTGGATTGACCTGTTTGGCGACCCCAGACATGCCCTTGGAGGCAGGGAAAAAGCTGTTGCTGAGGTGTTGAAGCCCTAGTCTAGAAAACTCCCCTGGGTGCTAGATTTCACCCTCATAACAGGGGTGAGTTGCCCAGCGGCTCAGATTTCCATCAGATGCTCCACTCTCCTTTGGCTACACAACTTGGTGATGACCTGGTCCTGGGCCCAGTGAGGCCCACCCTTTTCTTATTTCCTTAGCTGGCCAGTCTCAGTCTCGCCTTGGCTGCAGTACTGGGGGTGAGGGAAGCAACTTAACCTCTGCAAAACCTTGGGCTGATAGGCTGAGAATGTCAGTGTCTCAGCTTTGGGGGTGAGTGGTGGAGCATGGGTCCCTATTCTCAATCTTGCCAGACTACTTGGGCCAATTTGTAGCTTTATGCCTTCCCTGAGAGGTTTCTAGGGTTTTTGTTTTTTGTTTTGGTTTTTAATATTAGGAGTCATTTTCTGTCCTGCAATACACTGTGGGATAAATGAAATGAGTGACCGTATCTTGAAATGCTAACAAAGGGACTTTGCAGAAATTCTGTGCTATTGTTACTGTGAAAATTTAGGGCAGAGGGGGATTCCATGGTTCTCTCATCACTTACCCCGACAAAGAGCTTTGTTCTGGGAAGGTCCTTTTTCTGTCCCTGTGAGAAGTTGTCACGGGGGTGGGCACAGCAGCCAACCAGAAGTTGACTCTCTTTGTTGGAGATGGAGTGGCTTTGGGTGGTGACCAGAGTCAGGGTGGGGGCTAAGAGGTCATCAGGGAGCACTGCCACACCACCAGCTGGGAAGAGAAGCCTTCGAGGTCATTAGGGAACCCCATTTGTCAGGCCCAGGGTATCTGTTTCTTCCAAGCTCTCCCTTGCCTGTCCTTGCGCTCTCCATGGCAACGCCCCCTAGTCCCGCCTCTTCACATTCCTCTTCTTCCTTTGGGTCCTTCGTGCCTGCTGACCCCACACCCATATCCTGTCTGGGGCTCCATATAAGAGGGGAAAATAAAATAGAAAAGGGAAAAGAATTTTATCAGATATTTTCCAGAGGACAGAGGACTCCACCCTTTGAATCTCTGCCACATGGCGACCGAGGAGGAGCAGCCTTGGGGACCTCTGACTAATTCAGTGGTCCCCAGTGCTCCCCCTTGTAAGGCCTACCCAGCTGGCACAACCTTTGCAAATGCAAGCCTTCAGCAGCATTCCTGTTTGACTGATAAAACACAAACACGCCTGGGCGTCTTTTTCTTATCCCTTTGGCTCCACCTCCTGGGCCTCCTCATTCACTTGTCCTCCTTCCTTCTGAGTCTTTGTCTCCAAAAGCTGAGGGCAAGAAGTGCCAAACTGCAGCAGATAAACCCAGGCGCAGAGTCTTACAAAAACAAAAAGGAGGAACCGATTCCACTTCTTAAGGTCTCACTGCCCGATTTCCTTTAGACCCTGGGCTGGAGTGCCTGGGCTTAGTTTCAGGGCTGCATTGGTTACCCAGCTCCACCCTCAGGGTGCCCGGCCTCCCCTTCTCCTTGCATTTGCTTGATCTAATTAAATAGCCCCGAGTGTGGAGAAAATGTGAAGGTATGGAAAACAAACTAAAACACCGCCCTCCAAAAGAAAGTGTTCAGAGTTGCCAGAGCAGAATTTCCCTATTTTTCTGGGCTTTGACTTCTCTATTGAGAACAATCTCTTCCCTTCTCAGCTAAGAAGTAAAAACATATTATCTGTGATTTTTAGTCCCAAGGGCTGCTGACTTTGCTCAGGAGGAGGATGCTTGCTTCTTGGGAGAAGGAGATACAAACGGATGAGGATGTCTATCAGGTGTACTTGCCAGGACCTACACTCCGGAGCCCACCAGGGAATGAATCACTTCCCTTTGGACTAAAGGAAAAGGCCTTTTAGCTTGATTGGGAAGTCTGTTCCTTCCTGATTCAAGGGGGAAAAAACCAACCTGGGAACCCACAACTGGTACCTTCTAGGGGAGGGGCATCTTTAGGTAGCTTGTTCCATTGTTTACAAAAAGGCCTTGATGAGTCTTTGGGTGAGAAAGCCTAGACCCCTGGACAAGCCTCAGCTGTGCAGAGGCAGAGAGGAGGGTGAATTCCCGAGCATGATAAAACAAAGTGAAACTTTATATTTGATGGGCCCAAGAAACAAAAGGCTAAAGGACTCCAGAGCCTAGAAAGAGTCTGGAGAGAGGAGGGAAGGTATCTGGAGCAATAGAGGAACAGTGGTGAGTGGAGGGTGGACAAGACGTGGCTAGGAGACATTCCTTGTGGTACGGCATGATGTTTAGCACAGTAATGTCTAGAATTCAAGGTTATGCTGATGTCTTTTCTGGGACGTGCTGTAATCTCATTCCATGTTCTCAAACCTGCAGTAAACACAGGCTAGCCTTATGTTAGTGGTGCTCTGGTGGGGATAAAGGAACGGGGGCCTGGCTAGCCCAGGGTGAAGTAGTGCAAAATGAGAACTGCTGCAGCCTGAGGACAGGGAGGCACAGAGCTGCGAAACAGGAGTCAGTGGCAATTAGGAAAATGGAAGGAAGAGGTGACTGGGAGAAACGCAGGCCCCCAGAGAAAGATCAGGATACTGGGGTTCGCCATAAGTGGTGCTGTTTGAGTATGAAAGGGAAGTGTCAGTACGCGGGGAACTCTCAGGCCACAGACACCTGGTTTGTGCTCACACCTCAGCTGAGCCTCTGAAGCGTGGGAAAGCATCAGCCTAGTTCTTTGTTCTAGTCCAGCAGGGCCCACACTCACGGCGACCCATAACAAGGATGCTTCCTGAATGCTCCCAGGAAAGTTGGGTGGTTCACTATCTCGCAGAATAGTTCATTCCATTAAAAAAAAAAACTCCATTATTCTAAACTTTGTTTGTAATGCTGTGAAATTAGCCTTCCTGTAACTTCTCATCATTAATTCTAATTCTATTCTTTGAGCTGTCACAGAGTTAATCTGATCATTCTTCCTGAACAATTCTTAATGACCTTTCTAGTCAGCCCCGCTAGATTATAAACTCCTGGAGGACAGGGATTTATTGAAATTCAGATGACACTAAAACCTAAGGAATCTTCTCTTCTCTTGTAGTCCGCACAGCGCTGAGCACCATACTTTGCACATCACTAGTGCTTGTGAAAAATAAGAATGCATAAATAAGTGAAATGAATCTTGAAGAAAGTCATTTATTTTCCCTCCCCCAAGTTCTTTTCTGCGTCAGAGGTCAGCAAGCTTTTACTGTAAAGGGCCAGATAGTAAATATTTTAGGCTCTGGAGGCCATATGTGGTCTCTGATACATATTCTACTGTGTTTTATTTTACAACAGTTTAAACATGTAAAAGCCATTCTTAGCTCAGTGGCCATACAACAAACAGCCCATGGGTGGGATTTGGTTCACCAGCTGTAGTTGACAACCCTTAATCTAGATGAAATAATACTAGGCCCTCAACCATACGACTTGGTTTCTAGAACTCTCCTAATTCTGATTTTCCTCCCATAGACACTCCTAATGTAATAAATTCCCTTTTAAAATATAGCATTGAATGAGACCATCCACCTGGAGGTGGTTGGTGTGAACCCGCCTGACACGTTGGTGCTTACTCTGACCTCAGGCAATTATGCTAAGCATTCTGAGTAAAACAAATGAGTATGAGAGATGGCTCTGGCATTCAAGGCATTTATAATGTAACTGAGGTGACAAGAGCTGTACTCAGGAAACAGTGTGTGTGATTTTGTGCCAGATAAGTGATGGAAATACGTATCTTAAGGTCTCCGAGAAGCAGAAGGAAGGGGGCCTATACTAAAGATAACCACTGTTTCTTGAGCATTTACCAGACAGGCTAACTGCTTTAAATTTCTTATGTCCTTTCTTCCTCCAAACAACTAGGAGTTAGGGACCATTTTTATCCCCATTTTACAGATGAGGTTTAGAGAGTTGACAAAGTGTCCCCAGGCCACACAGCTAGAACATGATAGAGAAACCTTCGAGCATGGTCTGATGGCAGAGCCCAAGCTCTTGGTTTTGAGGCTCTGCTGTCTTCTCATCAATGCAGGCTGTGAGCTCCAGCAGAGGCCAGCGTGTCCCTTCCTCCTAGTACTGTATCTCGATGGGCTGAAACATGCAGGAACTCCTCCAAGAAACTCCTCTTGGGCCAGGTGCTAGAATTTGAAAGGTTGGGCAGAATGGGGCTGGCCGGCTAGGAGATCAGGAAAGAGCACCAGCAAAAACCTGAAACTAAGAGGGTCTGTGAAAAACAATACCAAGTACAGGAAAACACAGTCTCCTAAAGTACGAGAATTTAGTTATTTAGGTAGCAGAGCTTTCTGGATCTCTGAGAATTTGTAACCTCCCTTTAAAGACTAACAGAATCTTCAACTTACTAATTGTAGGTAGAAATCTTTTTTGAATGTGTTATATAGGCCTCTGCTTCCTTAGTGTACCAAAAAAGAGGACTTAACCTTCATGGATTCAGCTGTATCATGAAAATAATTTGGTTATGGTGCAACTAAGTGACATTGTTAACGCTTATTAAGATGTATATATTTATTTACTCCTACCATAAATGATTCCAGACTAGTGTGGGTTTTGATACTTATGTCTCTTTCTCATTTATTTGTTTCTTCATTTTTAGCTGTTGTTTCTCCTTATTTTTTGCTTCTAATAGTCTCTTTCTAATTTTTAGCTTTAGCTAGGATATCAGATAACCAAGCTTGTTAGAATTGTGTATAAAACAAGAATAATTGCCTCTGAATAAGTTCCTGTAAGTTAAATGCATGACTTTTACTACATGAATTCTGTGACATCTATTTGGCTTCTCAGAATCTTCATTTCGCTAATTTCCTAACACCTTGTCTCCTCCCCTTGTTCCCAGTTCTTGAGTTGAGATTAAATAGAGACCTAGGGTCAAATAGGGTAATTAGGGAGACAGTTAATAAAGATGGAATGAGAAGTAAACAACAGAAGACAGCCTTTCAGTCTGTTTTAAATTGCACTATAATCCTCTGCTGGGTTGGGTGTAAGGACTATTCCTTCAGTCTAGAGTGGAATGCAGTGGAGGCTTCATTTATTGTCTCAGAATCTGACTGGTAAGCTGCTATTACTCCCATACAGAGTTGGGGATCAGAAGCTCCGATAAAGAAAGGTCAGCATTTGATGGTTTAATGCCATGGCTATGTGTGTGGGAAGACAGGATAAAAAGAGACATGTGGTCAGTCTTGATTCTTACAAATGTCCTTCCTCCAAGACCCAGTCTCTTCATGGGAGCCCCATAAAGGGAGCCCTAGAGCCTGTGACACTGAGACTCCCTCACTGATGGTCCCTGCACTGCAGCACCTAGGTTAGGATTGGCACCCAGGGTCCTCCCGAGGTGTCCCTTGCTCTATGGTGGCTCATCATACCCCATTGCTCAGCCTTGCCTTTCTGCCCTCCCTCTTTGTCCTGTTTCTCCAGGGTCTCAGAGGCTTCCCTGCCCACCCTAGGTTCAGGGATGTGAATCTGAGGTTGGGGTCCCATCCTCATTTGCAGATGGACCCTGCTACCTGTTCCTCAGTGCTTGGCCCAGTGGTGGGTGGGAGGGGGCTGCTGCAGCCAGGAGCCCAGTCTCAGTGGGTCGGTAGCTGGCCTGGGTCCAGGGTTGCTTCATTCATCTGGCACAGGCACCTCTTTTCTCAGAACTAGCAGCAGGTCTCTCTTCACATCTGGAAAAGTTCAAAACTGTTTGTCTGGGTGAAGGAGGCTCTTGGGGAGGGGGTTCAAAAGCATGACATCACCTCAGCCAGGCCCAGTTTCCTTTGCGGAGAGAAAAGGGCTAGGCTAGGTTAAGCCAGATGGGATTCCCAGAAGTTGGTTTATTGGGGGAAGAACAGGAAAGGATGGGCAGGAAGAGCGATGCCAAGGGGGAGTTCCAGTGGCACTTTGGAACGGTACCTTGAGAGGATTGATCCTTCATGTCAGTATCGAAATGTTCCTGCCACCTGCCCCCTACAATGAACTCATACCTTAGGGCCAGATTGCTCAGAGGGGCCTATTTAAGCACACAAAAAGACTAGATATGCTTCCCCATCTATTTTATTTTGATAAATGCACCCCCCACCTAAGCCAGACAGGAGTGCATCCTTTTCTCTGCAGAGGTGTGGAGATTGCATCCTGATCCTTAGCAGTTTAGACCCCCTAACCCTTTCGCTACTTTTTTTTTTTTTTTGAGAATGATTAGCCCTGAGCTAACATCTGCCGCCAATCCTCCTCTCCTTTGTTGAGGAAGACTGGCCCTGAGCTAACATCCATGCCCGTCTTCCTCTGCTTTATACGTGGGACGCCTGTCACAGCATGGCTTGCCAAGTGATGCCATGTCCGCCCCCAGGATCGGCAGCAGTGAACCCCGTGCTGCTGAAGCGGAACGTGCGAACTTAACCACTACGCCACCGGGCCAGCCCCACTTTTGCTACTTTTACACAAGAGTCTGCTCAACCTCAGTGACCTCATTGCTTCTTGCCCTCACATGAACTATGGCCTTCCCTCTTGGCCAAAACCTTGGTAATTCAAGTTCTCATCTCTCAAAGGGAGATAGTAATATCACTTTTTCCTCCTGCTCATTTGCCACATAATATTAAGATATGATTGTTGTGCTCACCATTAACATCAGTCTACTTGCAGAGGTTAGGGAGGGAGACAGATGTGGGAGAGTGAGACTTGTCACTACCTTCAAGGGAGACATTCCTGGCCCAGGTTAATTGCCTTGAAACTAAAGCCTAACTTCCCTCTTGATGCTGAATGAAAGAAGAGGTGTCATTCTACATTGCTGTTTACCTGGAAATCTTTGAAAAATACAGAGCTATATTTCAATCAGGACAATTTATAGATAAGATTTAGGGTGGCCTGGGTCTAACATTTATAGGACCCAAGCCAGGAGCATGATAGACATCCACATACTATATGTCTAAATACTTCAGAGTTATAAATGAGGCCAACTAACTGATAAATAAAATATCTTCTATCCTCTTACCTTGAAGATCATACCTTCATGGCCACCTAGAAAGCCAGGTGTGAATTTGAGATTCTGATAGTCTTGGAATTCAGTGCCACAATGTGGCTAAGCAAGAAGAGACAGCCCTTGGTCCCAGCCCACCCGTCCTGTCTTACCCATGAACTGGCCCACACTGTAGGGAATCTTGCATGCATGTAAGGGACAGCCCACCGCCCCCGCCATGCTTAAGTTCTAACCCTTCTCCCTACAAACAGCCACCCTTTGACCACTGTTAGGGCTTAGAGGTGCACACCCTGGTGTTGTCATTCACCCTCATAAGGATGGACTGGGAGAAAAGGCCCATGCGGGTCCTCAAGTGAGGAAAGAGTCATTTGTGCAAGTTCTAGGACTTCTGGTCTCCAAAGTATGATCTAGAAGAGAAGGTATATCCCTTTTGGCCCCATGGACTCCTCAAGGTTTGGGGAAGGGCAGGGCAGGAGAAGGAACACAGTGTGGGCTCTGAAGCGCAGGGTCCAGACAGGAAGCTTCTCCTCCCTGGGTCTAAGGATGGCACTGCTGGGAATCCCAGGAAACATGGAAGGGCGAGGACCCTCAGGAAGATCTTCAGAGATCCAGTAACATTATACTATAGCAATTTAGCATTTCTCATCTCCTTGATTCTCCCAACAATCCATGTAAGGTAAATAGGAAAGACCTTCACTTTAGAGATTAGTAAACTGACACACACACACACACACATTAAATTACAGAGTTGTGGCAGAGCCAGAACTAAGCTCTCTATCTTCCTGCTACATTTGGCGAGAAACCAGGCCTCATGTTCTTTAGTCCACCAGTTGGATTCCTAGGTCAGAGCTTCCTAAAAGAAATCTTGGGGTTGTTTGCTACAGTTCCTCAGCCAGAGGAAGGGAGAATTGATTTGAAGGCCATGAGGGAAAGAATGAGGGGAGTTTGAGAATGGGGAACTCTGGGAAGGATACAAGATTTTTAAGGAGACTACATAGAGATGGCGTGAATCTAGCAATGATTCCAAGAGTGAATATATTGGATGGAGAGTGACAAAAAGAGAGAAAGGGTACATTAAAAAGGAAATAGAGGCTGATCCTCCCTCACATTTTAGATCTTTGCAATATTTATTCAGGTGTAATTTTATATTTTAATGTTTTACTTAACATATTATGAACATTGTCTCATATTCTCATGTTGCTATAGTTTTCATAGTTTTTTATTTGTAATGATTATGGTGCGTTAAGTGCATATGACATTTATCCTACTGTAGTTCATTTAGTTGCTCCAAGTTATCCCTCCTATAAATAATACTATACCAGATACTTGGTGCATACAAGCTTTTCCTTCTCTATTTCCCTAGGAAAAATCTAGTAGTGGGAAATTAGTCATCTGCACACAAGGATGTTCTTTTTGCTGCTACATTGCCAGGGGCAGCAAGGGATTGTTCCAGATGGATTCTGCCTGAAGTCAAGAAATTGAATCAGGTGATGTCACGAGACTCCAGGACAATTTAGGTTCTGACTTTCCCTCCTTGTTTCCCTATAGCCTCTGGATTCACAGAGGAAAACTCGACTGCTGTTGCCACAAGGTCACCTGCTATTTCAGTTGTTCATACGAATGCATCCACCCAGGAAACCATAACAACAAGTACTCTTGGAAGTACAAGTGTCCACCCTTCCTCTCAGGACAGCAATGGGACCACAGCAGCCATCTCAGGTAGAGTGTTTGTCTCAGGCCCCAGAAGGATGTTGCTGGTGCTTGGGGAGAGCATTAGGATGTTTGCAGACTACTACCCCTCACTTCCCCCAAAGATGGAAACATACGAGCCCCTTGTATTAATGGCATCATGCTTAGGGTACCCTGAAGTAAGTTCTAGATAATTCCCCCTATAGTGACAGCTTCCTCAGGCCAAACGCCATGGCAGCTGATCCTGATCAGTAATACTCCTTGTCCTCTGCTCTCATGCTGAGTTCAGCTTAGTAATAAAATAAGGATCATATGAGGACTCTCTAGAGATCTCTGATCTATTCTAAGTGAAGGAGGTTGCGCATGGGTTCTAATTGAGGTTCTTCGACTTCTCTAGTGCAGACCAGCATCCAGCTCAGTCTTGAAATCTTGAGGGCACCTCTAATACATTCTAGATTATAGCAATGGTTCCAACAGCTGGCTTGAAGTGAGTTTGATAAGGGTTAGGACATGAAGTAACTCTTACTACCCCAAATTCCCTTTTCTGGCTTGAAGTCCATGCCTATGTCATTATTTATAAGGTCTTCATTCAAGACAGTGAACTGAGATGTGTGTGTGTATGTGTGTTTATGCAAACGTGCACACATGCACACTTGTGTTTTGGTCTATTCCAGAGTCAACAGTCAACTTCACATCTACCTCTGCGATCACTTCAGTCCCTGAAACCATGACCTCTTCGATCCAGTCACAGAGCTCTTTAACCATCACAGTGTCTTCCACTCCATTCACCTTTTCAACTTCAGTGATGACGTCAAAGACCAGCATGTCACCTGGAAATGTTTCAGATCCCCTAGACAATAGCACCAGCCCCGTGACATACTCCACTAAACCCTCTACATCATTTTCTCCTATCCAAACCAAAATCAAGGTGGGTGAATTGGGCCAAAAATGGCAGATTGCCCCCTCATTTCATATGTATTCAAGCTCTGTCTTCCCCTCAACCTCTCTTCATCCCAACCAATGAGATTTGGATCATGGTGGAATTAGCATGGAAAATATGTAGTTTAATATTGCTGGAAGGGATAGAAAGGGGAGGAGGAGTCAGGTGGCAAGGCTGATCTGTGCCATGGGTATTGCATTTCTAGGGAGTGGATAGTAAAAGAGATCCTTGGAGATCCATCCAATCCTCTGTGGTTCTTTCTAGCACCTCTTGGTCTGGGCTTTGATTAGAGTCATTCTTCTTTGGGCATATTTGGAAACCATCCTCCACTTAATGGGGCTACTTTTCCCAAAATGTTTAAGATAAATACCATTTCCTCTATGTGAGAGGGTTTGGCAGTTGTGCCAGGCATAGAGAGGCAGTGAGGAACTGAGTAGACCAGGGAGGTGAGGTCAACCTGCACTTCTCAGCCTTGGGGCCTGTGGCTGTCAAGAGCTTTCAACAAACACGAAGAAGGCATGGAAGCTGGGGGCAGGCATGGTGGGGGCGGGGGGAGCTGCCTGGTTTCTGTTTTTATAAGAGCCAGAATAGGATCTGGAATATCCTAGGGGCCAGGAGGAAAATGAATGTCACTGGCATCTGCCTGGCCATCTCATTATCTATTTGCCTGTGTAGCCTTACTGCAAGTTTATAATTCACTGGAGGGAAAACAGCCCAAATGGGTAAAGATCCTCCTCTTTTCCACTTCTGCATCATCCAAGCCAACGTTTACCAAGATTGCAAATAGCTACTTGCCTATAGGTCCAGGCTAGTAACAAAAGTTTCAAGTATCTGAGAGGGATAGAGGATGAGATGGAGGAACAGAGCGTGATTATTATAAACTTCTAGTCCCCTAACAAATTTTAAATTTTCTTTTCTCTAAAACCTCTTAAAAGAGTAGCTTACAGAAATCAAACTGAAAAAGAGGCGGAGGAGAAATGAGGAGCAAAGACACTGGCTTATTTACTTTGTTTTTGTTTTAATACAGGGAGAAATCAAATGTTTAACCGTCAAAGACGTGAAATTGACTCAAGGTATCTGCCTGCTGCGGAATGAGACCTCCAGCTGTGTAAGTGAAACGCCTACCCCGCCCCCCAATTCCTTCCCCTCCCTCTCCTCCCACAATCCCTTCTGAACATCCTTAAGCCGTCTTGGACTGGACCGGACTTTGGTGGCGGTGAGGGGAGCTTGGCATAGTCTGGCTACTTCCAATACTGAGCTTTCGGTTTATGGAGTAAGAGGCCCCATCTGGTGGACACACAAGGCAAAGACAATTTTATTTAAATTTAGTTTTTACTTTTTCCCTTCTCTACAGTACATTTAATGCATATGGTCAGATTTAAGTTTGCTGCTGTTAAGAAAGTTCTTTGAGAAATATAAACTAGCCACCTAAAATACCAATTCATTTATTATTATTTACATGTAACTCTTTAATCTATATAGAATTTCTATTGCTGTAATTCTGTATATTCAATATACCCTTTTTTCCTAACAGTATTCATTGAATGACCCCCTCATTTGTTGACTGGAATGCTTCCTTTAGCTTATATTAAGTTTTTATATATCCAAAGTCATATTCTTCAGAGATATTGTACTCGTTCAGTTTGTCTTTTTTTGCTTGTTTTAAATTTTTAAAAATTATTATACTTCTACGTTACAGTACTTTTAGTGTCCAACCAGGCAGGTCTTTGCTCACTGCAATGTAAAAATGGAAAGCATTTTCATTTATTCTTTTAGAAAAACTTTAGAAACATCTTGTCAAGATCAAAAAAAAAAAAAGCCATTAAAATTTTAATTAAAACTACTCTGAAATCCCTCCAATTTTTCTGGTCTTTTCTTCAGCATCTTGTTTTTTAGTTTAAAAATTTTTTTCCTGTAGGTTTTTTGGATTTCCTAAGATTATTTATAGTACAGATTTTCCATTATATATTCCAACTGATTATTTCTGGTCTATTAGAAAGTTAATTGAGTTTTGAATGTTTATCTTGGGTTTAGCCATTTTCTTTAACTTGCTTATTAATTCCAGGAGTTTTTTAGTTGATTCATTTTTTTTGTTTTTAAGGTAAGCTAGCATGTTATCTACCACCATGTATTGTTTTTCTCCTTTTTAGTAATTATGCCTCTTGTTTCAGTGTCATGTCTTATTGCATTGGTAAGACTGTACAGCAGAGTGTTAATTTTTAATGATGATAGCAGACCTCCTTGCTTTGTTTCAGTAAATCCAATTTCCTCACAGCAACAAGGCTCCGGATGAAGGATGGGATGACAGGAAGAGCGATATTTACTTATAGAAAAAAACATTTTCCTACAAGTTGCGAATCTATTTAAGGGAACTATGAATGTGATGTGTGACATATGTAGATTGGGAAGGGCCTGGGTAAAGACTGGTCTGTAGAGGGGATTGAGTTACTTATTTTGTCCATTCTGACTACCGATATCTTACCTGTGATTATAGTTGGGTCGCTCTGACTTACAGATCTTTTAAAATTATACCTAAGAGAATTATTTAACTCAGCATTTGTAAAAACAACAGGAATTGTGAACACATAAGTTTACACAATGGAATAACTAAATGCAATTTGCAAAACAGTTAACTTAAACATGAATATACAGTATACTAGTAACACTCGGTGTGTTTCTAGTGCTGGATTTTCTAGATTTCCAATTCTATTCATTAAAAAAAAAATTACCAAGCCCTTTGCTGATTATAGCTAGGGAAAAGGACCATCTCCTTTTTTTTTTTCCTATCGTCTTGATTGAGCACTCATTTTCCTATCATCACACAGGTCTGTGCCAGAATGCTAATTCTTTGTACCAACAATTTAGAAATAACTGGAGAGCGTTCTGTCTGCCCATTGCTCTTCAAAGTTCACATCTAACTAGGGTCATCATACAAGACAAGTGCCAGAAACTTGCTGCTACTCCAGAAATAACTCCTCTTACTGTGCTGTGGTCACTTTCTCTCTCTTATCTGTTTTGTGCCCCAGCTGAGAAGGCCTGCCCCCCCCCCCCGAGATTTGGGGAGTATCTGTGAGTAGCAATGTGGAAAGAGAGCAGCCCCTCCAATATCCTAAGAAGGCTCTGTACTGCCCGCCATGAATCCACTCTATGGTAACACCTAGGTAGTGCTCTTGTTTCCCTAGTCTTTCTACCCCTGTTGATCCCCTTTTCTTCCTGAGGGCTTCTCTTCCCCAGCCCCCAAGCAGCAGTGCCTCCCCAAGGTAATTTTTCCTCAGTCAGCAATCCTCATTCCAGAATTTTTAGCCACAGCTTCTGAATGTGTCCCAGATTCCTTTTCCTTGAGTCTTATTGCATGCTTGTCTGATAATCAAGCTGTTCCAAAGGCTGGGAGGAGTGTAGAGCCTGCTAATTTTCCTTAAATTGCATTTGTACTTTTGGTATCAGAGGGCCTTAAGGTACTGGTTCTAACCGTGGGAAACTCAGGCCCTACTCACAGCCTAATGAGAAGCATGAAGGATTTAGATTCCCCTAACATCACATCCTTGAGTACTTATGTTACTTAGCATACTCCTGCATCTAGTATATTCCCATAACAGATATTCGCATGCACTGTTAGCTCTCCAGACACTTGTTCTGCACTGCTACCTACTGAGCATCCAACATGTTAGCTCTCGCTATGTGGATTATTTTGGCCTCCCTTCTGTACGTGCATTCTGTAGACATTTATATCCCAACCCCTCTCCTTTTGCTTTCCATCCTTGACCTCTAGGCAGAAATTCTCTGTATCAGCAAGGAGGAGGGAAGGTGATCCCACACTCTTCTCAAGCACCTGTTACGACATCTCTGAACCCTCATTAGCAGAACCAATCACTCCAAGTTTGACTTTTCTTCTCTCTGCTGCAGTGTCAGGTTAATTTACTTTTTTTGATTATGGTTTCCCAAATAATTTCCAAAATGTGAGATCACTTTACTCTCTTATGCTATACCCATCTGTCCAGGGGAATCCACCAAAAATAAAAATTTTTTAAATGGCAGTAAAATACACGTAACAGAAAATTTATCACCTTAACCATTTTTAAGTGTACAATTTGGTAGTGTTAAGTGCATTCATATTATTGGGCAACAAATCTCCAGAACACTTTTCATCTTCTAAAACTGAAACTCTACATCCACTAAACAATTGCCCATTCCTCCGTCCTCCCAGCCCTTGGCAACCACAATTCTGCTTTCTGTCTCTATGAATTTGACTACTCTAGGTATCTCATATAAGTGGAATCATACAGTATTTATCCTTTTGTGTCCGGCTTATATCGCTTAGCATAAAGCATTCAAGGTCCATCCAGGTTGTAGAGTGTGTCATAATTTCCTGCCTTTTCAAGGCCAAATAATCTTCCATTGTATGTATATAACCCGTTTTGTTTTTCCATTCTTCCATGGATGGTCTCTTGGGTTGCTTCTACCTCTTGGTTGTTGTGAATAATGCTGTTATGAATGTGGGTATACAAGTCTCTCTTCAACACTCTGATTTCATTTCTTTTCGGTATGTACCCACAAGTGGAATTGCTGGATCATATGGTAATTCTATTTTTAAATTTTTGAGGAAGCACCATACTGTTTTCCATAGTGGCTGCCCCATTTTGTATTCCCACCAACACTGCACAAGGGCTCCAATTTCTCGACATCCTTACCAATACTTGTTATTTTCTGGGTTTTTTGATAGTAGCCATCCTAATGGGCATGAGGTGGTTTCTCATGGTTTTAATTGGTATTTACTAATTATTAGTGATGTTGAACATCTTTTCGTGTGTTTATTGGCCATTTGTGTATCTTTTTTGGAGAAATTTCTGTTCAAGTCCTTTGCCCGCCAATTTTTCTTTTAGAACTACCTTTCTTTAGAGCCACATGTGTTTATATGCAGAGGTTGTGTTTACTCAGCTAGCTCCCATCACCGTTATTCTGTCACACTGACTTCGTTTGAGACAGACTGCCTCCCGCCTCCTGATCATACCCCCAGCCCACGGCTTCCTTGCCCTCTGCGCAAACACTAAAGGTCAGTTTCCATGCAGAAAAAAATAGCTTACAGATGGAGGACTGATGAGGACAATATGTCTCCTGGAAAGATCCTGAGATCTAGAGTCAGCCTAACTTCTTGTCCTTGGTCAGCTGCCCACTTGTTGTGTGACTTGTAGCAAGTTCTTTAACTACTCTAGTCTTTCTATGAAATTAGGGGTTTTACCTGCACTGTCAAACTCACACCCAAAAAGTAAATAAAATTATTGAGAGAGAGAGGTGATTGGTCCTAGAATCTCAGCATGGGAAATATCTTAAAGTTCATTTAGAAAAATACCTGTTCCCCTCAACGCTCCAATGCTTACATGCTTCTTTAATGTGCAAAGAGTCTTTGCAAAGTTTGAAGATGCTATTCTAGAAAGGTTAGTTGGTTTTATTATTGTGGTTATTATTTTTGTAAAGTAATATGTGTGAGCACACGTAGTTAGGGGCTCGCAATTCTGATTCTCATGAGCAAAATGGCCAGGCTGTGGCTTCCTCCTGCCCACTCTCCCATGATGTCTGCCCACAGCCTCTCTTGGGGGAGGATGTTTATTTCAAGCATCCGGAGAAGCATTGTGCTTTGTTCAGGATCCACCTGCTCCTCTCCAGGCCGAAACACAATTCACCGATGCTGTTAGATTCCAGAGTGGGAGGTTGGCTGCTGTTATTCCCTTGAATTTAGTCCAAGAAACTAAGCAAGGGGTGGAGGGACCCTGTGTGGAGGACAAACCAGTTGGGATGTTAAGTAGAACAACAGTTCAAGGAGTTCTTTTGTTTCTTTGGTACTATGCTTAGCGTAGTCTGGGTTTAAAATTATGTAAATTACACCTGCTTCTCACACTAAGGAGTCTTACGGTCTAGTCAGAGAGAAATGACAATAACAGCAAGGCAGAATATGGTGAAACATCAAAAAGTGGATTCTAGATGATATAGTTTATAAGGCATTTCAATTATTAACAGTAATAGTAATAGCTGCCATTTATCCAGTGCCCATGAGGTTCCAAACACCTTGCTGGGCACTCCTCATACAACACCTCTTTAATCACCGCAGTAACTCAGTCATCAGCTGAGGAACCTGACATTCAGACTAGTTGCACAACATGCAAAGAATCTAGTAAATAGCAGAGCAAAGGTCGCTGCCCAATCTGATGGCAGATAAGACTGGCTTCATTGAGGAGGTTAGATTTGAGTTGAGTGTTGAAGGATAGGGAATCCAAAGGAGAAGGTGGTGTTCTTCATTGTCTTTGCAACCAGGGTTGTGAAAGTCATGTGCTCTCACATGCCTGGGCTCCCTCAGGGTGGTACCTCTGGTCCAAAGGCCTTTCCCCACGAGCTTCTCCTGCACACGTTCTACCCATTCTTCTAGGCCTATTTTGGGATGTTTCTGAAAACCCCAAACTGGATGTGCACTCACTCCTTTGAATGTCTAAAGCACTTTAATTGTACCTTTCTTTGATACTTACAATGTAACTAACTCTGTGACCTCTTTGTCTCTGTGCCTCAGTTTCTTCATCTATAAAATAGGAAGGATAATAATACCTAGCTCATAGGGCTGTGTGAGGCCTAAGTGAGTCAATAGGTGGAAAGCAGTTAGAACAGTGCCTAAGACATAGGAAGTGTCATTTATTTTAATTGCCATGCATCCAAACTGAGAGCTTTGACCATGTAGAATTCATAGCTACCTCACATCCCCCCGCCCCACCACACACACACACCCATGACATATGCAGAGAGGTTTTCACGCAGTGTCTTATAGTCAGGGCTTGATAAATGTCAGAACAGCTGAATCTGGTTGAAGTGCAGCTTCTTAGGATCAGCAGGTTGAGGAGGGTGCCGTTTTGTTTGGCTCATTTAGTTACGCAGGAGCCCTGTCTCTCCCCCTCTCTCAGAAAGGAGATATATTTCAACCAGAGATACTTCGGAAGCCCGGAGCCATCCAGGCAGGGACTGCCCTCCTCCTCATCCAGAAGGCACGGTGCTAGGGAGGGTGTGGTGCCCGGGAGGAAGCCATGTAAGGCTGTCTGAAGAGGAGTGGGCCAAGAGAGGAAGGAGACTGCTGATCAGCTCCAATGTGGTGCCCAGATTACCTACAGCAAATGCTGTTTTAAAGTGCCAGATTTTTCCAGAAGCAAAGTCTCTATCCAAGGACTTACTGGGAGACCTACAAAATTGATCCTTTTCCTGAGAGGTGAAACAGCAGTGGCCTGAGAATTCATTTCACTGTGACCTTGACTCTTGGTGGCCTTCTGAGGCTGCTGTTGGACTCATCTCTCTGTGACCTGGAGGTTAGCTAGCCCTGCTCTCCCGGCCTCACCCAAGCCCAGTGAGTTTCACTGAGCTCCTTCAAATTCCAACTGATAGAAGAAAGCTGGGGCCTGAGGCCAGTCTTGACCTTGCCTTGTGCAGGAGCAAAGGAGCCTGGGTTTTCCTGCCTTAAAGCAGTAGGAAAATACCCAGGCTGCTTTCCAAGCTGGGAGGGCCCTCTGGCCTTGCCATGAGGAGCAGTCCTGCCCCACAAACAGGAAGCTTTCTCCTCCACAGAGGCTCAGTTCTGATGGCCCTCACACGCCCCAGCAGTTTTCTCCTAACAAGAAGGTTGTCAGAGCTGTTCAGGCATTTCCTCCTCCACCATCTGCCATCCGGACAGAGGAGAGAGTCTTGGTTTCACTTCCTTTCCTGTGCAGGGGAGGCCTCTCTGATCGGAGGCTGCTGGAACAAATTCTGGGGGGTACAAGAACAGGATGTTGGAAGGGCACAGCCAGCGCTTCCAATTCATCCCTTTCGTGGAACTCATCTTGTTGAAGAATTATCAGAATTTATCTTCTGAGTCTGAGTTCCGGATTCCTATGGGCCAGTCACCATCCTGGGGAAAGATCTATGAGCCTCATGTAAAACTGAGTTTCATGGTTTTAATGGAGAAGGGGTATGGAAAACTAGACAGAAACACCATTTCAGTTTGAGGTATGCTCTCTGTGGGACCCCTCTGAAAGTAAGAGGGAAGGGACTGAGGATCCCGTTGTGTATATAGTCATAGATTTGGTCTCCTCTCCTTGCTTCTCTGGGCTTTTCCTCCAAGGGGCCATTGTAACCTTGAAACAAAGAATTTTCCTCTTCCTTATTATTGCAATATTACTATTTTCTGTTATTGGCAATTTCTTTTGAATTTAATTTGAATAGTATGTGTGTACATAGACAATCCTTAAATAAGATGATGTTTCTTAAATTTGTTCTCTGACATCTTACAGTGCAACCTAAGACACTGGTAGATATATGTTTGGGTACTGGGAAATTTTTGAGTTTTTTCTTATTGTGTTTTTGCACATATATAGTTCTCAGTATTTTTTTTTCCAGTTGGAATTTTAGGGAAAAAGAGGATCTCTTTGGTTTAGAGGGTAATAGTGTGACTTGAATCAGAATTATTGCCTGAGACTCTAGATGCAGTTCAGGAAATCCTAGTAATTTCATCTCTCTCTTCCCAGGAGGACTTTAAAAAGGACCATGAAGAGGCACTGATTCGAATCCTCTGTGAGAAAGAACAGGCTGAGAATGGGACTAGGGTGTGCTCCTTGCTCCTTGCCCAGTCTGAGGTTACGCCTCGCTGCCTGCTGCTGTTCTTGGCCAACAAAACAGGTGAGGGGCACGTCTGTCTCGGAGGCTAGGGAGGGAGTGGGGCCGAGGTGAGAGGAGCCTGGGTAGAAATCAGGCATCTCAGCTCAGAGAGTGCAGATGCTGGAGAGAAGGGCAGGGCTGACTTTGGGAGAGGCTCTCCCGAGATGGACCACCCTGGTCATCAGAGCATCTTCTGGAATAGTGTAGGAGGGTAGAGCAGGATGAGTTGGTCCAGCTTCTAGATTCAGCAACCCCTGTTTCTAATTCTAGAAATTCCCAGCAAGCTCCAGCTTTTGGAAAAGCACAAGTCTGACCTGAGCAGGGTAAGTTGTCTGAGATGGTGAGTCTCAGAGGGAATACTGGGTCAAGAGAGTATTATAATTAGAGTAGGGGAGAAAGTAATTATATTCTCCAGACCTGCGCTTCCTACCTATCCATCCTTTGACAGTCTTCACCTTTCTGTGCTTGAACCAAAATTTTATGGTATGGCTTAATTGAGAGATATCAGTTTTCAATCCTGTTTAGAAAATCCCTGAGGTGAATGTCTTCTTGTGTTTATTCACTATTGGGTCCCACATAGGGGTCTAGTGTGGGCTGGGCTTCTCTTTTAGAACCCACGTTCCACAAGTAGCAGGCTGTCTTTTCTGCATCTTCTCTTCAAGATGGGGATCCAGAACTTCACTGAACAACATATTGAGAGCCACCAGCACTATTCCCGCAAGACCCTGATTGCACTGGTCACCTCGGGGATCCTGCTGGCTGTCTTGGGCCTCATTTGCTATTTCCTGATGAATCGCCGTAGTTGGAGCCCCACAGGAGAAAGGCTGGTCAGTTCTGGGGTCCAGGGCAAAGGAAATGAGGAAGACAGTGGTCCTCTGGGAGGTCCATGAATGTTATGGAGGGGGAGGAAAAATACCAGAAAAGGCACTTCTGTGCTCTTACACAGTGATATGTGTGCATGCACATATTGTACCCATGCAAGAGTCAAAACAATATATAGCAGGTTGGGCAAAGGGCACTAACTAGGGCCAGACCACCTGCTCACTGTGGTAGCAGATGGTTCATGTCATCTATTTATTATTTTCCCTGGAATAGTTCAGCTGGGTACAACCAGAACAGGCTGCTAAATCAGCCACTTATTTGCAAGCATATTAAACACTCACAGTGCCAACTTCCTCACAAGAAGAGGACATGTGGAAGGAAAATCTGGTCTTGAAGTGATCTTGATAAGAAAGGACAAGGCTGGGGTTTAACTCTTGGCCTCTGGCCTGTTACCCCCTCTAGGGACTAGTTTCACCCTGGGGTCTGCCTGGTTTCTTGTGGGAGCTGGCTATGGAGCTGCAATGGCATGGTGTGGTTCCTCTCCTCTGTCCTTTCTCCTCTAGGAGCTGGAGCCCTGACCACTCTTCAGGAAGAAAGGAGTCTGCACATGCAGCTGCAACGCCCTATCTCCCTCCTCCTTTCCTTCCCCTACTAGTGTCTCACTCCCCTGCTTACCAGATAATGCTCCTTTATTTATGCACTGTCTAGGGGGAAGAGCCTTGTTACACGGAGAACGGTGGAGGCCAGGGCTATAGCTCAGGCCCTGGGGCCTCCCCTGAGGCTCAGGGAAAGGCCAATGTGAACCGAGGGGCTCAGGAGAACGGGACCGGCCAGGCCACATCCAGAAACGGCCATTCAGCGAGACAACCCGTGGTGGCTGATACAGAATTGTGACTCGGCTGGGTGGGGCAAGGCTGGGCAATGTCCAGGGAAGCGGCCCCTCCTTGCATCTGACCACGTGCTGCCTCCATCCCGGAGGTGCCATCTCTTACCTTCTACCCTTTCCCACTGCACACACCCTCCGAGGCCATTCCTGGGGCCCTGCACTGCACCAGGCTGAGGGGTTCTCTTCACCTCGGGAAGAGGCAGATCACCCCTGCCCTTTACACACTCAGCTTCCTGAACCCAGACTCCGGGTCGTCTTTGAGTAGAGGAGTGATAGGGAAAAGGCAAGATGCAGAGAAGCTCCGGGGCGGCGGTGGCGGTGGGGGGGTTGCTGATCTCGCAGCATTCGCGCATGGGCCCCTTCCTCTCCCTCCTCCTCTGCCTCTCTGCAGGAACTCCCAGGGGAAAGCATGGGCTTTTCTGGGCTACAATTTCCTCCCAGGAGGCTTTGCCTTTTTACTGCCTCTTCCTTGTATTTTCTTTTTCTACTCAAGGAAAGCCAAAGCAGCCTTTTATACATGCTCCCTTGTAATGATATAGCCAGAAGAACTTGTTGTCTTAAACGTCCTCCCTTACCCCTCCTCCAAGTCACTGTGGATTCCGTTACCAGCTTCCCTCCTGCCCTCTGAGTTCCTGGAACGCCTCATATCATCGTCTCCAGTCCCCGCCCCCACCCCCCCATCTGTGTACAGAGGCCTGCACAGTTTTCTGGCTGTTTCTGGAACTGGGCTCCAAGTTTCAGAACAATGTCCTGTGTCTGTGTGTGCAGGAGACAGGGTGGGGATGCGTGGACACACCTGTCCCCACATGTGGGGGCCGACGGGTGAGAGCAAACAGCTCAGTCAGTCCTGGTCTCTCTGGGGCTGCATAAGTCCTCTGCTTGGGCTCTTGTTTCTCCATGTGGGTCAGAGTGGACAGGACTGTGGGACCAGATCTTTGAGCTAAGCCTCTTGACCTGTCTGCTTCTGAGGAATCCCCTTGCTCTGACGTTAAGACCTGGCCAGACTGGGCCTTATCCTCAGATCTCAATGGCTTCCACCTCCCTCCCCTGACTCCTGGGTTGAGCTGTGGCCTCAGTCCCCCAGCAGAGTGCCTTCTGTCTTATCCTCCCCCACCCTGCCCCCCTTCACTGCTCTGTACCCCCATCTGGTCAGGACTCTCCAGAGGACCCTCACCACAAGCCACCTCCTCTGTGAGTGACCTAGGTCCTTGTTTTTATTTTTGTTTTTTTTCCAGAGGGGTGAGCAAGGATCCTGATTTCAATGACGGTTGGAAAGAGAGCTTTCCAGAGATAGGAAGATTGGGTGGATTTTTTTCTTAATAAAAAATGGTGTGTGTAAATACTGTAATTAAAGTGATACCAAAACACATCTGTTCTGTGGCTCTGTCCCAGCTGGGTGTGTCTGAATGCCAGAGGGGTCTCCACATCAGACGTGGCTGGACTGTGTAGTGATGTGGTGGGGAGGGGCTAGCCAGGGAGATGTGGGACCATCTCAGGGACACAGCTACCAAACAGGATGCTGCCCTTTGGCTAAATCTGCCAACTTCTCCCCTTCTTGGGGGGACGGGGAGACTCACGGGAAGCTGGATGTTCCTAGGTATAGGGAGAAAGGCAGACCAGAATGCAGCAGGGGCCTTCAGGATGGAGGGTAATGTGCTGAGGTCTTAGGAGCTGTGCCCTTCGTGAATGCCTTTCTGAGAAGTGGCACATTTGGTCACTGTATGCAAAATATGCAAAACCAAAGGAAGGGGCCATGTCCTCTGCACCCTCTGTTATCACACCCCTCACCACCCCCACCCCTAGCTGGGAGCAGAAGAGTGAAGGACAACATGGGGAACTTCTACTCTGGAGATCTGGCTGCCAACTGCAGGAGGGGCTGGTTTCCACCCTCAGCATTAAGACAACAGCCTAACTACAAAAACGGCTCTAAGTTCACACCCCCCTGCAGCTCCCAGACACCCCACCCCCCAAACAGGCCATAGGAAGTGGGGGAGGGAGTGTCACCGACATTACTGAGTAGCTTCAGGAAACTCCCAAGTGTGTCAACAGGGGCAGAGGCAGCTGGGGCCAAACACAGGCTCCTTCCATGCTTATCTGGCCAAAGCCAGACCTTCCCTTTAGCACTCCCACTCTCTCCCCCTGCTTCTCCCCAACTGCTCTAACCAGGGCTTCCCCCCAGGACTCAGGGGAGGTGAAGGAACGAGAGCTAAAGCTTCCCCTAGAAGGCCATGACTGATTTTGGGGGTTGGAGAAAGGGAAAAAAAATGGTAATCCAGAAAGAGAAGTCAGGTTGGCCTCCATCTTCACACAGCCATGAGAGTGACCAGATGAGGATCTGGCCTGTTAGGAGTGGCAGGGAGAAGGGGTAGATGCAGGGTACAAACTCTGAGAAACATGGGAGGAGGAGAAAAAGCAATTGGGTCTTTGAAACGTTTCCAGCCTCAGGACCAGCAATGTATAATAGAATTTACCCTAAGTTGTTGGAGTGTGTAGGCTTTGGGAGGAAGGAGTGTGTGTGTGTGTGTGTGTGTGTGTGTGTGTGTTTTGGGGAGTGGGATGGGTGGCATCTAGTTCTCTGATGGCTGGACAGCTTGCCCTGAGGACTGATTGCTTTCTAGAAAATCACTTTCCCACCTTTGGCTTGAGCATCCTAGTGCAGCAATGGCTCCACCTGCTGGCCATGCTGGGTCCCTACCACTCAGCTTCAGTTCAGTTGCCTCCATGTTGGGTTTCTCTCCGTTGCTGCGCCACCCTTAAACCACCTACTCCAAATGATCTCATACAGGAAGCTTGTATAACTGTGGAAAGTCACTGCTGGAGAGGACTTGAAAGATACATCCAACTCAATTCCTTTATGGTATAGTTAAAGAAAAAAGACAAACTAAGGCCCAGAGAGGGGATGTGGCTTGCCCAAATCACCTGGAATTCAGGTGTCCTGAATCTAAAGCTCTCCCCTTCATTGGATCACCCACTCTTCTGCTGGGGCCTCGGGGTTCCTCCAGTTGGATGTCCTGAAGCTGGTGAGAGCAGTGTCAGGATAGGTCTGGAGCTTCACCTCTGGAGCATTTCATTAACATGTACTATTCCAGGCCTGGCCAGAGGAGCAGATCCCAGGACCTTGGGACAAAGGAGAGGCTGAAGATTCTGTGAGGCTCTGCTCCCTCTGCTGGGCCTGCAGTCAGCACTAGAGAATTAACTCTGGGGTATTACATGGTTCATTGTGGAAAACATACCTGGAAGTGTCTTCTGCCAGATTTTCATCTGAATGGATTAATAGGAGTGTCCACTAAGTCTGGATGAATAGGTCATCCTTCTTCCACCCCCTCCAGCTAGCTCAATCCCACACTTCCTCTTCACACAAACCCAGTAGCAGGTAAGCAATTTTGTGCAACAAAATCCAAGGAGTTCACAGCCACCATTCAGTCATTTGACAAGTCTTACGGAAAACCTACTATGTAGCAGACACTGTTCTAGAGGCCGAGGGTGGAGCAGAGAATGAATCCTCATGGAGCTTACAATACTAGTGGAAGAGAAAGACAATAAACAAATACACTTACCGAAGTAAATATATGCATATATTTTCGGGTCATATTCAGAGCTATGAAAAATATAAAATAGATTCAGAGGAATGGTTGGTATTTTACATAAGGTGGTTACTCTCGAGGAGGTAAGAGTTGAGAGCATAGCTTGACTTGAAGGAAGGGAGGGAGAGATCATGCCATGCAGGGGAAACAGCAAATGCAGAGTTCTGTGATGCAGACCTTGGCAAGTGCACAAGGCTATAGGTGAAGGAGGGCAAGAAGGCCGTGAAGCCACATCAGAGTGAGTGAGGGGAGAGGGACGGCAGACCAGATCCCATCAGGTCCTTTAGGCCTCAGTAGGGAGTTTGGGTTTTATGAGCAGATCAGGAAACATTGGAGGGTTTTGAGCAGGGAAGTAATATGATCTGATTTATGTTTTAAAAGGATCGTGCTGGCTGCTGAGTAGAGAATAGAGGTGAAGAGGTGAGAGAGTAAAAGGAAGGAGACCAGGCAGGTTATGGTGATAGTGGCAAGAGGAATGGTCCTGGCTGGGAGCAGGGTGATGATGGTGGAAGTGATGAGATGAAACAGAATTCAAAGGATGTTTCGAAGGTAGACCTCACAGGCCTTGCTCTATCTGTTTATTCCTTCAAATAATGAGCATAATAACAGTAATAGTAGCTAACATTTATATGAGTACTTACCGTATCAAAGTTGAGACGTTATACCAAAATTTAAATAGCATATTTTATTTAATATTTACGGAAACCCTATAAAGTAGGTACTATTGTCTCAGAAAGAGAAACTGGAACTCAGAGATTAATAAGAGTCCATGCAAGAGGCTCAGTGGCAGAGGCAAAGATGCGTAAGATATGGGTTTATGTGAAGCTCCAGATTTTTAAATCTTGGAGAGAATACTACAAGTGCCTTAAAACAAACAAAAACAAATGCAAGGCAGAAAGTGAGAAAAAACACAAGAAAAGACTAACTGAAGTGCCGTGTGTCCAGGAAGGCAAGACTCCTTCCAGCTTGGGGGATTAGGGGCTGGGTCATGGAGGGCTGGCATCTGAGTGGGGCTGCAAGAATGGATAAGATTTTAATGGCAAAAATGGGTGAGGACACCTGAGGCTGATAGAAGAGCATATATGCTATGTAAAGATGGGAAAGTACCTTTCTGGAAAGCGGTACTTGCAAAAAACAATGTGTTTTCTGATATGGCAGGGTAGGATATATGAAGGGAGGCCAAGCACCAAAAAGATGTATGTCACAGTTTGTGCAGGGCATTTAGTGCCAGACCACAGAGTTTAATTTTATTTAATAGAAAAGAGAGAGCCTCTGAAGTTTCCATTTATTCATTGATTTATTCATTTATTCAGCAAATATTTTTTGAGTGCTTATTATAAGCCAGGTACTATGCCAGGCACCTGGGATAAGACACAGTCCCTTATGTCAAGTCTTTACACTGGTGGACGTGGGAGGAATGGATGACAGAACAATTAGCACTGAGTATGAGTGTTATGGTGTAGGAAGCTTTGAGTAGGAGGGGCATGGAAGCCATGGAAGGCTTCCCAGAAGAGGTGATGTGGGTTGACCCTGAGGAACAAGCAGGATTTAAAAAGGAGAAGAGGATAGAGACTGGTGTTCCAGGGAAAGAAAGGAGCCTTGGCCTAGGAGCAAAGTGAGTGTGGTTGTTCCAAAAGTGTGAGTGGTTCTTTTAAGGCCCAAGCAAAGGATACAATTCTTCTTTATATCTTCTATTTCTGTGCCGAGGCTTTCTATTTGTTCTTTTATTTCAAGCATGTTATAATTGCTCATTGAAGCATTTTTATGACAGTTGTTTTAAAATCCTTATCAGATAATTCCAAAATCTCTGTCATCTCACTGTTGGCATCTGTTGATTATCTTTTCTCATTCAAGTTGAGATTTTCCTGGTTCTTGGTATTACAAGTGATTTTGAATTGTATCCTGGACATTTTGGGTATTATGTTATGAGACTCTGGATCTTATTTAAATCTTCTGCTTTAGCAGTCTCCCTTTGATACTGCCCTGATGGGATGTCTTCTCATTACCACCAGGTGGGGGTAGAATTCCAGGCTCCCCTTTTGGCTGTTGACATCTTGGGAGGGGGGCAGGAGTGAAAATGCGGGCTCCGCACTAAGTATCTGCTGATACCACCCTATGACATGTCATTCCTTGAGTCTTCGGGTCCCTAGCCTTCTTCTCTTTACCTTTCAGAGTCTTTTTATGTTTGTTTTTTATGTAATGTCCAGGGCTTTTAGAAGTACTTAGCCAGAATAGGGAGAAGTGCATCTGCTTCATCTTGTCTGGAACTGGAAGTTCATGCAAAAAATATGAGAGAGGAGAGGAATCACCGACCACGAGTGTGGAAAGTTTTGCAGGTCTGAGACCAATTGTTTTTGAAGCCCTCTTACACCATTAAAAGCTATTGAGAACTTCAAAGAGCTTTTGATTTTGAGAGTTATATCTATCCATCACTACTGTATCAGAAATCGACTGAGAACATTTAAAATTATCTATTAATTCATTTTGAAACAATAATGATCTCATTATGTGAGAACATACGTAGCACATAGTTTAATGAAAAATAATGATATTTTCCAAAACGGAAGCAATTAGGGAGAAGAGTGGCTTTGTTTTACATTTTGGCAAATCTGTTCAATATCTGGCTTAATGGGAGACTGCTGATTCTCTTCCATGTTTCTGTGTTCCATCTGTTGTCATAGTGCATGCCATGTAGGCTCTAGAACATTCCACTGACTTATGAGAGAATGAAAATGAAAAAGGTAAATAACATTTTAAGATTATTTTGAAGATAGTTTTGACCTTAGAGACCCCTGGAAATGTTTTGGGGATACCCCGGGTCACACTTTGAGAACTGCTGTGCTAGAATTGCTCTTGCCACATGCAGCTACTGAGCACTTAAGATGTGGCTAATGTGAATGAGGAACAGAACTCTTAATTTTATTTAATTTTAATTAATTCAAATTTTAAAACTGGAGCAGTATAAACTTCTTATTTTTTGGGGGGGAGATATAACATTATTGCTTTGGTGGGAACACATTTCACTTTAACCTTTGAAAATTTAGCATCTGAATTAAGATGTGCTGTATGTGTTAAATACACACCAGATTTTGAGAACTTAGAAAAAAGGAATATAAGACACCTCATTAATAATTTTTATACTGGGTTTGTGTTGCTATGATATTTTTAATATATTGGGTTAAATAAAATGTATTTTTTAAACTAACTTCACCTGTAATTTAAAAAAATTTTTTTAAATGTGGCTATTATAAATTTAGAGCTACATATATTGCTCATGTATTTCTACTGGGCAATGCTGCTCTAGATGAATCTGGATGATGAAGGCTCTGTCTGCCGTGTGAAGTTTATTCTTTATTTTGAAGGTAATGCAAAACCATTGGAAAGTCTGAAGTAGGGAAGTGACATAATCAGATCTCCACTGTCGAAAGTTCTCTTTGCAGCAGCGTGGAGCGTGGATTGAAGGAGGAACCGTTAGGAGATGATTGCACTCTTGAAGATACAGGAAACTTGTGGCCTGAAGAAAAGCGGCTAAATTGGAGACATACTGGGGAGATGTAATCAACTGGCTTTGGTTCTTAGGCATAATAACGGCATTGTGGTCATACAGGAGAATGTCCATATTTGTAGGAGATGCATGCAGAAATCTTTAGGGTTGAAGTGTCATAATATCCACAACTTACTTTGAAATCCAGCAGATTCACATAGAAACTTTACACACATACATCCGCTGTACTTCTGTGAGAGAAAGATAATAAAAAAGCAAAAAGCATCATAATATTATTATGAAAAAAATATATGTATACGGAGAGCAGAGGAGGGGAGAGAAAGCGGACATGACACAAAATATTAGCAGTGGTGAATCTAGATGAAGCAATGTAGTAAATCGGGGATCATTTTACTCTTCTTTCAACCTTTCCACAGGTTTGAAAATGTTCAAAATAAAAAGATGGGGAAAATAATGAAAAAACAAAGAACCTCAACACACTGATTGGATATGAGAGAAAGGGGAAAGGGCAGCCAAGAATGATTTCCTGGTTTCTTGCTTGACAACAGAGTAGACAGTGTTGTTATTCTTGAGATGGAAACCAGATTGTGGGTACGACGATGAGTTCAGTGGGAAATATGTGGACTTTGAGATGCCTTTGGGATACAGCAGGCAGTGTACAAACTGAAGTTTCCAAGAGGGAAGCCTGCTAGGGATGCAGACTTGGGTGTCTTTAGAATCTAGATAGTAACTGAAGGTTCTGGAGAGCCCTATTATATCAAAGGTATGTGTAGAGAATGAGAAGAAATGAGGTATGAAGAGGGAACCCTGGGAAATGCTGACTTTTAAGGATCAGCAAAGAAGGATGCTATGGTAGACGGCCTGCAAGATGGCCCTCAGTACTGCCTCCTTGTATTTGTACCCTTACGTAATTCTCCCCAACACTGTACCAGCATGGGTCTGAGTGACGAGGGCAGAAGTGATGGTATGTCACTCCTGAGATTAAATTATAAAAGACACTGTTGCTTTCATCTTGACTACACATGCTCATTCTTCTTGTATCACTCGCTCAGGGAGAAGCCATTTGTCATGTCATGAGCAGCCCTATGGAAAGGTCCATGTGCTAAAGAACCGAAACTCTGTCAACAGCCATGTGAGGGAGCTTGAAAGAAGATCTTCATGAATGAATGAATGAATGAATGGATGGATGAAAGACTAAATAAGTAAAGAAATAAATAAGACTGCAATCTCACAAGAGATCCTGAGCCAGAACAGCCCAGCTAAACTATTCCACCCAGCTAAACTGAGCCCAAATTCCTGACGGTGAGATATGTGTGATAATCAACACTGTTTTAAGCTGCTAAGTTTTGGGGTAACTGTCATGCAGCAACAGATAACTAATACAGATGCCGCAAAGTAGACTTAGAAGGGTAGTCAAGGAGCTATGAAATCTTTGAGACTGGCGTCTTGAGAAAACCAGGAAGAGAATATTTCATGGAGGAAGATATGGTATACAGTATCAAGTGCTATCAAGTGGTAGAGGAATGAAATTTTCAACAAAGGGGTGGTTGCTGACCTTGGTGAAAGCAATCAGTAGAGTATGGGAGGGCAGAAACCCGATTATAGTAGACTGAAGAGTTAGTAATAATAAAAGCTATAATTTTTACATTATCACACTTAATTGTGGGGGGAATACCTTGCAATAAGTATCATAACCCCCATTTTAGAGATGAGAAAGCCAAGGTCACACTGCTACTATGTGGTAAAATCGGCCCCCTCCCATCACCAACGGTCTATTGAAAACTTCTGAGAAGAGTCCTGATAAATTCCCTTTTGGTAATTTCATTCCATTTCCAGACGTTCCTGCATCCCTTATAATTTTGGTGCCCTAGGCAGCTGCCCAGCTGGGATGGGCAGCTCCTTTGTCTGGTTCTGCCTAAGTCACCCACCCTGTGCTTTATGTGAGTCTTTGGGGAGAGAAATAAAAAATTAAAGGGAGTGAAGAGCCACCCTTTCATTCCTTCCATAGCTATTTACTGAGCTCTTTGTAAGAGCCCCAGCTACCTGGCCAGCCTTCTTAGACATGGATGGGCTACCAACGTGATGTTTTACACTCTACTAGCAAAAGAAAATCGGCCTTACCTTTCTAGAGAAGGGGCTCCTACCCAAGGTTGAATAAAGCACAGCAAAATTCAGCAACTGCAGCATCAACAGATGAAGCAATCAGAGCAATCACTCAGCGGTGATTAATAGCAACAACTCCTTTGGGTCTCATACATGAAGCTCTAGATATGTAGCTATTTCTAGCTCTATCTCTGTTTTAATGTCTTTGGCCTTCAGTCAATCAATTCACCTTCCTATGACCCACACCGCCTCCCCCACAGGAAGATTTCATCATCAAGGTTTGCCCTGTGAGTGGAAGCTACCTCAGACCTGCTTGAGCTGCATTAAGTGACCACATGGTGTCATGGTCAATCTCCGTGGGTTTGGAATCAGACAGGCTTGCACTTGGAGTCCAGCTCTGACATGAGCTGTGTGACTTTGAGCAGGCTATTTCTTTTAACCTTTTTCAATACTCAGGCTCCTCATCTGGAAAAAATGGGCATAGTAATATCTGCCTCATGGCATCAGCACAAGTGTAACAGGAAGAAAAAATTTATGTAAAAATACAACTGCCATTTTTCCTCATTTGAGGGTAGGGCAGGATTCATCTCAGAGGTACTTGGCTCGTTTGTTGAGGAAAACACTTTGGTAAACTTTTGTGGCTAAGAAAAGCAGCTGAGCACCCTCACAGTCATCCACTTCCTTAGCTCCTTCTCTGACTCCAGATTGAGAACAGCCCAGAGTGCAGACATTTGTCCAAAAGAGCTGAATTTCTTTGTGTAATAAAGTAATAGGGCTCTGATGTTTTCAGGGAGAGGTGGGGAATGGTAGAGAGATGGAGAAGGATCTTGAGAGGGGAAAATGGCCGCAGGCAGGGCTCTGAGCAGCAGAACAGCCAGGGGCAAGGGCACTGGGGTGAGGGAGGGTGGGGAGCTTTAGTACGGTGATTTCCAGTGATTGCTTGCTCTACTTGGGGCTATAACTACCCTATATTGCCTCAGACCTTCAGGAAAAGTCTTCCACACAAAATGGCCCTACGTTCTGGGGGCTTTAGGCATAGAAGGAAGGATGGAAGGGGCTCAGCATGCAATGACTGACAGTGATGGGACAAAAGGATGATGTTGTCAGAAAGTAGGTGAAAGAGCTTGAATTCAGCTGGAGCAGGAATTCATAGGAAAAAATGATCATGAAAATGTCAGCCTCTCTCTCAAGAGTCCTTGGAAGTCTTGGAGAGAATACAGACATCCCACAAAATTTGGTATGGGGACTTGGGCTATTTAAGGAAAATATGATCCAAGAAGGTGGGTAAAAATCAGGTTGCATAAGGCTTAAATGAGAGAAGGTACATAAAGCAATTAGCTCAGAGCCCAGCCTGTGATAAGCACTCAACTAAAGGCAGCTTCTTGTTATGATTTAGTGTGCAATTTCCTCTCTTCTTCACCCTTTTGAATTTCAAGGGCTCATAATCTACTTGAAAGTTATGATACAGTCATTCATTCTACAAACATTTGTCAAATTCCTTCCATGTATCAGGTACGTTACATAACTTCAGACAGCAATCACTATCACAGCTGACGTTACTGAGAGCATAGTCTGTGTACTGTGCTCGGTACCGAGCTAAGTGCTTTCCCTGGCTTGTTTCCTTTAATCTTCACAACAATCCTAGGCCGGAACAATTATATTCCCATTTTACCAATGAGGAGACTGAAGGCACAGTGAGGTTAAGCAATCTGCCCAGACCACATACCTAGCCAGTGGGAGAGCCAAGGTTTGAATCCAGGCAGTCAGATTTCAGTGCACGCTTTTAAGCTCCATACTACGCTGTTTTTGAACACAGCTGACATGCGTGTGAGATATGGCCTCAAAGGGGGAGGGATCACGAGGGAAGGGTCACAGGGAGGTAAACCTACACATATGGGTAGGAGTTTCTTGCCTTATTTTTTCCCGACCTCTTACTCTCTTTGTAGCTCTGAGCTGTCAAGATGGGGGTGGCACCAGGATCCCAACACTTAGATCTGGTCTGAGCTGCTCATCAGCTGGTTTGAGTTCTCCCATTCTGTCAGTGCCTACCATTAGCAAGAGGAAGGAGGAGAAGGAAGGGAAGGAAAAGGCCCATGGAACCAACCAATAGATCATTAGAAGCTGACTATTTTGCCATAATGCAGCACAACAGCAATAAATTTAAATCAATCACTTGGGGTGGGGTGGGGAATGACTTTCCTATAATCAGCAATTAAAGGCTTGTACCACTAATTAGTCTATTAATTAGAAGGACTGTTCTCTCCTTCCACATGTTATCAACCTGCCAAGGCAGAGAAAACGCAGCCGCGGGGCAGGAGATAAGAGAAGAAAGACCGAAGTAGCAGATTCAAACAGCTGGGCATGTGTGTGTTTTAAAAGCACAGTTCTTAGTGCCCCGGGCAAATCCACCTGCTAGTAGGAAAGGAACGTTTATCAAAAACCAAAGTGCTGTTGTCTTTGTTGAGCAGAAAGGGAAAGAACGATTTAATCTTTAAAGAGAAAAACCACCATAACCACACACAGGGATCTGTGAAGGGCAGTTCCACTGGGTGTTCCCTGGGGCACTGGACACAGTGAGAAACAAACATGCTTAGTGCAAAGGCAGCATTGTCAGAAGGCTCAGGAGCATGGGGACTCTACAAGCTGATGCTGAAGTGTGTACATCTTAGGGAACTAACGCATATTGAGTTCCTACTACGTACCAGGCACCAACTCCATTCTTTATGCTCGTAACATCTTATTGATGATTTCATCAACATTCTTAGAGTGCCCTTTTATTCTGGGAATTCTCAAAAAGAAACCTCATATGAGCCCTTGTAGCTGTGATCACCAAAAGATGGTTGCTCTGTTCTTCTCCTCCTGTTCTGGCTCTCAGTGGTCCATGCCTCCCGCCCACCAAGATCTTGGAAAAGCCTCTCATCACTGTGGCTGTGTGTCATGCCAACTCAAAGGGCCCAGAAACTCACAAGTCCTTCCTGAACAGTTCAGACAGGCTCGGAGCTCCACAGCTCTCTCCACGTCCCTGGGAGGGGCACAAGAGGGAGGACTGTTGCCTTCATATTCTTTTCCTGTTTTCCAGCCCCTCTGCTCCCCTCCATCCTCCCCCAGTTACCAAACAGACGTTCCCATGCATTTAAATGAAAAATAGCAGACAGGGTGGGGTGTTGGAGGCAGGTGTCGCCACTAGCAACAGCCCACCAGCAGCTGTTAGGTTATCTCGTTTAATCCTCACAATAGCCATGTGACTATCATCAATCCCATTTTGCAGAATGGGGAAACTGTGGCTCAGAGAGGTTAAGTCATTTGGCCAGGCTTCCAGAGGCAGTAACAAAGCACTTAGCAAGAGCTCAGGAAATATTTGCTGAAAGACAGACTTGGAAATATGGAGGCAATGGAAAATCTCCAGCTTCTGGGAACCTCCGAGCCTGCAGGGGTCCAACTATATCAGAAAGAGGGGCTGTCGATCGAGGTAACCCCTGTAGGGTGGGAGAAGAGGGAGAGATGGGGAGTATAGGGTCAGCCTCAAGGTCAATTCCTCCTGACCCCACTCCTTCCTGCCCTGATACCTGTTGCTATATAGTTCCCTTTCTACCAACAACACATCACCCCACCCCCCAAAAAAAAACCTCCTTCAGAAATGGTAAGTGGTGACATTTTTGAGCTGTATGATCCTCAGGATGTTAACATGTATGTATCCCAACATTGCTTCCTATGTTGGGGATGGGAGGGAGGGGCATTGGCGTTGCGTGGAGAGAGCCTGGGCTTGGGACCCAGTGACAGGCCTCTGTTCCCTGGCAACTAGCTAGGTGACCTTAGGCAAATTGTTTTTCATTGTCCACCTTCAGTTGCCTCATATGCAAAATGGGAAATGTCAGCTGCCTACCTCAAAATGCTATTGTGAGGTTCTAGTGAAGTAATACAATACTATTATTATAGAGAGAGAGAACTTCAAAATCACAGACTGCTTCCACATACATCTCTGGCAACCTTCAGAGCAACCTTGAGTAGTATTGTCGCCATTTTTCAGTCGAAGAAATTGAAGACTCAGAAAGATTGAAATTCACCTGAAAACAGCGAATGGTGCTATTATTCAAAAGCAGAAGGACTGGCCCCACCATATCTGACTTCCAGATTATGCAGGCCCACCACATCTGCCCCAAAGTCGCTCATCTGGGGCATGTGTCATGTTCAAAGCTCTCATTCTCTCAATAAATATTTGTTGCATTCCTACAAGGCACCAGGTTATTGTGCTAGGCATTGAGGATACTACCGCAGAGCTCCTGGTGTGGTAGGGCAAGCCAACATCATATCATTGAGGAACAACACTGTGTGATGGATGTTACAGAGGGGAAGGACAGGGTCGCGTAGGAGAAGACAGTAGGGAAGCCTGAAGAGTGAGTAGGGCACAGCCTCATAAAAATCGGGGAAGGGTGTTCTCACCTAAGGTGGGAAAGAGCTTGGTGTTTAGTATGAATGAAGCATAAAGGGTAAGAAGGAATATGGCAAGGCAGGAGGCTGGAGGGTTAGCTGAGAGCTAGAACT